GACACATGCAACCTTGAATGCCGCTTTTCCTCATCAGACCCATCAGGGAAGAAAGAAGATCCCTAGCCAAAGATGAGAGTATCTCAGAGAATGGTATATACAACATGGGTAGAGGAGAAAGAGGGCTGAACTGCTGTGACAGCCTGCAGGTGTCTCTGAAATGTTTCCCAAATCTGGGACATCAGTGCCCAGAATTACTGCAGACTACACAAGTTAAGGGCTGTCCCTTAAATATGCCTTACTTAGACACTAGCTGCAAAATGGGGTGCCCAAGCTACCCACACTTAGGCCCAGCCAGATACAAATTTTTCCATGATCTCTTCCCCTCACCCAGATCATGACTCTTAAAAACTCAGGAAAATACTTACTTACATTTGCTAGTTTATGATAAAGGATATTCGGGAACAGCTAATGGGAAGAGATGTATAGGGCAAGGTATGGAGTTGGGAAGATGTGGAGTTTTCATGTTATCTCCATGTGCATTACCCCCTCAATATCTCAATGTGTTAACTAACATGGAAGCTCTCCCAATCTCTTGTAAGACAAGGTCTTGCTTGTCACCTAGGTTGGAGTGCAATGGTGCAATCTTAGTTCACTGGAACCTCGAACTCCTGGGCTGAAGCCATCCTCCTGCCTTGGCCTCCCAAAGTGCTGTGATTACAGGTATGAGCCACCACACCCAACCCAAATCTTACTATTTAGGCATTTTAATAGAGGTTTTATTATCTTGGTGGAATTGATTTAAATTATGGCCATAGATAAATAGACTCAAACCCACTCAGTCTCTGGTCCTTCTCTGTTCCCCAGAGGGATCAGTACTTCTATGAGGTGTGAGTTCGTGACAGCCTGAACTCTTACCACAATGCCAGACAATCAGATTTGGACTGCCCGGGAATAAGTAAAGCATTTATCCTTTACAAACATCCTGCTAAAGACCAATGACACCCAAACAGTTCAAAAATAGAATTGGTCCCTGAACTCAAAATCTCATATATGGTTGACTTTTATGTTGATGGTCTATAGACTTTAGCTACCTTAGGGGACTGTCTAGAGAACAAAGAAAATCTAGTCTCTACAGTGCTCACACTGAAGGTGATGGAGACTCCCAAAGACCATTGTTTGGAGGATTTCAAGAAAAAAGTGTAAGCCAGACTAACAACCTTGTTTTCTTTGGGCTATGTAAACATCTATAGTTTCCAGACAGCTAGTGAAGCTAGAAATGTGACACTTCAAAAGATGTTTCATTTAAAGCAGGTGATCGAAGTAACTGAGTTTTGCAATGAAAGCTTTGGCTCTTTTGTCCTGTTTGTGAATGGCTAATGTACATGCCATCTCTGTTCAGACAACCCCAGTTATCACCTAATGTGTGTGAGATGATGGATCGGTTTCTGGATAAAGGGTAATGGATTTGATCAATTTCATTTGAAATGATCAATGTTTTGTCTAAAGATGAAGTCTTTCTGGGTTAGTGCCAAGGCATGTTCATTGCATTACACAAATTGATTAGAGAAGTCTTAGTCCCTCACACTTGCTGTGCTGACAATTCAGCTTGTCAAGGTGCCATTGTGCAGTCGGGTGGGAAGGTCACCTTGGCCGTATGTCCCGGAAGCCACCTGGCTGAGAGCTGTCTGTACACAGGTTTCCAGAGGCAAAACTGACTTGTCTATGGGCCATTAATGAGCTGCTAATCAACCTTCCATCTTATAATGGAGTGGATGAATGAAATGAAATAGGAAATATCCTCTGCTAGGCATAGTGGCTCACACCCGATCCCAGCACTTTGGGAGGCTGAGGCAGGAGGGTCACCTGAGGCTAGGAATTAGAGGCCAGCCTGGGCAGTACAGCAAGACCTCATCTCTATAAAACTTAAAGCAGGTGCTGTGGCATATACCTGTGGTCCCAGCTACTTTGGAGGCCGAGGTGGGAGGATCCTTGAACCTGGATGGATGGTCAAGGCTCCAGTGGGTGACAAAGTGAGACTCTGACTCAATAATACAGAAGACAGCATGGCAAGTATATAAATCTTGGTATTTTGGGAGTCTTGAGCTCTTTAGAAGGACACAGCTGAGTCTCCAAAACTGATGCAATTGAAGCTTTTGCACCTGTTACCAGAAGTCCATAATGGGTTGAGGAACATCTGCTAAGACTGTGAGGTTTAGACTGAGAGGTTAAATGGATTAAAAGATGGGATTCTAAACTGGAGTTTAGAAGACCCCTAAAATTGTGTGAAGTAGTTTGTGTGTCTATGTCTGTGCCTCATGGAGGACAGCTCAAGCTTCCCTGATGGGCTTTGTATTATTCCGCAAAACAGAATTAATACAAAAACCTCCCCCTTTTCACTCATATCTCCACTTCTTGATTTCTTCCTGATTATGTTCACAGCTGCTCTTGGGTTGATACCTAGTATCAGTCAGGGGATTCTAGTGCTATGCATGGGTGGAACAAATGAAAAATCCCAATTCAGGTTATTGTTGCGGCACCAGTGGGAGTGAGACCTGGGGCTCGGGTGTAGGTCGCAGGCTTCGTGGGTTAGGTGGGGTCCACAGAACCCGGGAGGCAGAGGTTGCAGTGAGCCAAGATCCTGCTACTACTCTCCAGCCTGGGCAATAGAACAGACTCCATCTCAGAAAAAGTAAAATAAAACAAATGCAATCTGTAACCTCAGTGGGCCTACAGTCACTTTGAGGCATAAATTAAAGAGAAAGTAGACCAGGTGCAGTGTCTCATGCCCTGTAATCTCAGCACTTTGGGAGGCAAAGGTGGGCAGATCAGCTGAGGTCAGGAGGTTGAGACTAGTCTGGCCAACAGGGTGAAACCCCGTCTCTACTAAAAATACAAAAATTAGCTGGTGTGATGGTGGGCACCTGTAATCCCAGCTACATGGGAGGCTGAGGCAGGAAAATCACTTAAACCCAGGAAGCAGAGGTTGCAGTGAGCCAAGATTATCACTGCAGTCCAGCCAGAGCAACAAGAGCAAAAATCTGTGTCAAATAACAAAAAGAGAAAGCAAAGGCTTTTTAAGTGGTTTGTGTGTGTGTGTGTGTGTGTGTGTGTGTGCCAGGCTCTTAGAAGCATACATTCCCCCATTAGCCTCTGAGCAGTCTGAGGTTATGATCGTCCACCTCCTCCACCAAGTTTTTTTTTTTTTTTAACCAGAACACTAAAGCTTATCCTTGATGATGTAGAAACTAAGTGCTAAAGACAGGGATGGGGGAACAACACACACTGGGGGCTGTTGGGGGTTTCAGTGGGAGGAGAGAGCATCAGGTTAAATAGCTAATGCATTCGGGGCATAATACCGATGTGATGTATTGACAGGTACGGCAAACCACACATTTACTTATGTTACCTGCACGTCCAGCACTTCTATCCCAGAACTTAAAATATATGTAAAGTGGTAAAGCATATTTAATAAACGCCATGGACGTGCTTGTTGTTCTTCATACTAGGGGGCTCTTCATTTCTCTTAAGGAATTCTCCATAGACCCTGGAAAGTCCTTCTAACCTTAAACAAGAGAGGAGGACTGTCAGCATCCTAGGGGTGGAAATATCGGAGGAGGATGAGTAAGAGGGAGCTGAGCAAGGACCCTCTACTTTTCCCCTCCTGCCAGCCAGTCTGCTTGTTTTAGAAAAAAGGGTTCATTCTGACTAGCATGGTAGAATTTTCAGAATTGAGAGATTTGAGTGGAGTAATACACTAGAATTACCTTTTTTCTGGAAAGGAAACTGAAGCCTGAGAGAAACGGACTCCCAGTGTCATCCACACAATTTGTGACTAATGTGTCCCTTTCCAGTCTGACCTCATGTTGACCTGTACTTCTAAGGCATCTCTGTCTTGCTGCCTCTTATTTCTAGAATGTCAAAGTATGAGCAGGGCTTGTGATTGAACGATTTACTGTGTAATAACACATGCTGTGTTTGAATAAAATTTCCACCTTCTGAGTAAATCTTTACCTATCGGATTATACTGAAAACACTACAAAAAGGGTCTGGATGGGGAGAGCTCAGGGAAAGGTCATCCCAAAACTCAGTGCTAGGAAGGACACCAGTGCTAACTGAACATCTCCTTTGGGCAAAGCCCTGCATTTCACACATCCACACCTGCTTCCATTTAATCTTCAGTAATCCTCTGAGCTTGGTACAAGCATACACAATTTGCAGGGGAGGATACTAAGTTTCTGAGAAGTTAAGACATTTACCTAATCTCACCTGGCCCCTAATTATTGATGGAGCGCATATGTGAACTGAAATTGGCCAATTTCTACTCTTTGTCCTCTACAGCAGGCTCTCTGCCAGTGTTTGTCATGGAAGCTCAGCACACAGGTAAGCTGATCTGAGAATCTGATCTCTAGGGATCTTCCCCCCCAACCCCCCACATTCTGTTCCCCTTGGAGGGATCAGCAGATGCCTGGAGTTGGAGGGTGAGGAGAGGGAGTCATGGTCTTCACATTTGGGAAAATGAGCTTACATGAAATGATGCAAAGGACAAAAATAGTCGACCGGGCCTGTTGACTCACACCTGTAATCTCACCACTTTGGGAGGCTGAGCCGAGTGGATCACCTGAAGTCAGGAGTTCAAGACCAGCTTGATCAACAAGCTGAAACTCTGTACTGAAAATACATAAATTAGCTGGGTGTGGTGGCAGGCATCTGTAGTCCCTACTACTTGGGGGGCTGAGACGGAATTGCTTGAACCCAGGAGGTGGAGGTTGCAGTGAGTCAAGATTGTGCCACTGCACTCCAGCCTGGGTGACGCAGTGAGACTTTGTCTTAAAAACACAAAACAAAAAAGTTGGCATTCAATTCATTGCATACATATGTGCGTTGGTGAAGGGATCTATCAACATTACTATTTAATTCTCCCAATAACCCGGAAAGTTAAGTACCCTAACAATCCCCACCTGCAGATAAGCTAAGCGCTCGAGAAGTTAACTTGTACCAGTCTGGTAGCTAAGTAAAGGGTCCTTAATTCATACCCGGGTCTGAGTTCTGAGCCTTACGTGGTCGCATTGCATCTGGTGTTGAGAGTGATTATCCTGCTCCCATCAACTGGCAGGCCATAGAAATCTTTTATTTATGGGCAGTTCAGGCAAGTAAATTTTATTGTCTAATGACATCGCTTTTTTTGTTTAGAGCTGTCAATGTGGGATAACCTCCCGTTCTGGTTTGTTGGTAGTTACTCATTTACTCAGGCATGCTGTTAATTTAATTGTTCAACCTTTTGACCACCATAAAGTTAATCTGATTAAAAAATTCTTAATATAGAAAATTGCTAATAAATACCAAAAGCTCTAGGTCAACAAAGCCAGGCATGCTTGATTAAATATCTGTGGAGCTTATGAAATGTCTGCGTAGGTCTTCGGCGTTTGTAAAGAGACATTTAAGATTCCAGCACAATCTTTGCTGTCATTGGGCTATTGCTAACATATCAGTCTTATCTTGACCATCAACTTTGACTTTTCCCCTGGAAAAACAACTCAAGCTTTCTACATTTTCTACATTTCTGACACCATACAGAATTCATGCATTTTAAGACATATACTTTCGCAGAAAATGAGATTTTTAAGAGGCTAAAATAATATGAATACTGCATACTTTAAAATCTATAAAGCAACATAAACCTTCCACAGGGGACGGGGAAAAGAAAGCTTCAAAGCAGGAGGAATGTACATTAAACGTGAAAGGGGATTTCCTCTCTCTGAGGTTCCAGGACAATGTTTGCCAAGAATGTCTTTCTTTGAAGGTAGCTGTGAAGACAGCTGGTTTCTTCTCTGCAGTAGTTTTTGGATTCAGGGAAAGAGTCTTTCGAATTTTTAAATTTTCATTCTGAATATTCTTAAATCTATTGACTGAGCTCTTTCGTGGTGTGGTATGAATTGTTAGGCAAAAGTAACTCGGTGGAAAATATTTGAAAAAACCGAAAGTATGAAGTTGTTCTGCTTCTGGTGAGAATTTCTCAATATAATTTTTACATGTGAATACTGCATTGTGTTCCACTGTTCTGAGGTTGAGTATCCAGTCATATTCGACTCCCTGTATTATAATTTGGGATGAAAGCTGGTCTCTGGGTAACAGATTCATTTTACTGGCAAATGCAAAAGTTAAGATGAGTCCTCTACTTCATGTAACTTTTCTGTCCTCAAGCCTCTTAATTTGAATTTGTGAAGGGGGCACTCTTAGCTGTTAAAAACTCTTTTTAATAAGGTGGGCTGAAATTTAATGGAAATCTTTCATTACCGAAATACTAAGCGCTGAAATCAGTAAGATGTGTCTAACAAGTACCAAAGTATTAAAATAAGTTGGTGCATTGAAGTCCAGTTACATAAAATATGGTTCTTGATTTAAAAGTAATATATGCTCCTCGTAGCAAGTGTGAAGTAAGAAAAAAAAAATCACATTATCATGTCATCCAGAGGTAATGCCTATTAACCATTTAATGCAGTTCCCTTCAGTCACCTGTGTTTAATGGCTGCCTGTCTCCAAATGTGAAATAGCGCCTGATATGCCAGAAACTGAAATTATCTTGTCCATGTACTGCAACTATTATGTGTTTCACTTGACCAGAGTTTGTTTTGTTTTTGATTACTGTGAAACTTACTTAAGTTACAGCTGTAAGCAACGTTAACCCGTTTTGCAAGCTACTCCTGCTTGGTACTCGATTTTTGGGAGGATGTTTTTTCTTTGACTTGGAGAATCTGCTCTTTAGACTTATCTACATAAATATGAGAACTTGCATTACTAATGCTAATAGATTAAGTAACAGAGTTAGTTTTAATAGGTAAAACACAGCCTAAAGGGCACGGGCTCTGGACTTAGGCAGGTATGGACTCCAGTCCTGGCTCTGCGATGTCAAACCTGTGCAGCCTTAAGCAAATCGCCAAACTCAAATCTCTGTGGTCCTTAATTTCCTCATCACTAAAATGAGAGTAAAAACTCACATCATATGATTATTGTGAGATAAAGATATGAATATTCACAGAAAGTCACCAGATAAACTTGAGTTGTCACACAGTGTGACAGAAGTCTTCTAAAAAATCAACGCTTATCATGCCATGTAAGTTTTTCTAAGTGAAAAAGCCATACTGTTAAAACGTTAAATGGTACCTGGCCTTTTATTTTTCCTACAAATGATACTGTGCTAAAAGATACATCTAAAATGAAGAGTGTTCACTTTTTGAAGGGAAACTCTAGGGCTGATTCGGGTTGTTCATTCTGGCTAAATCTATACCTTGGAAAATTACTGTCATTTTAATTTCCTTCCCATTGTTCTTTGAGTACTCAAAGTTCTTAGAGCCACCTGATATTTCATTTTTGAGCAAGTGCTTCTAAAATTATGAAGGTGTCTTTTATCTCCACTTCTTAGAAATCAGTTTGCAGCTGGCAGTCATTTTAATTTGCCAAGCACCTCTTATGAGCAACAGACTTTCAATGCCCTTCTACCTATGTTATCTAATGGTTGCAAAAATTTGAATGAAACAGGAATATTATTCCAGTTTCTACATGTTCATCTATTTTTATTTTTGAGACGGCTGGAGTGCAGTGGCGCGATGTTGGCTCACTGCGACCTCTGCCCCGTCCCCTTGGCTTGAGCAATTCTCCTGCCTCAGCCTCCCGAGTAGCTGGGATTACAGGTGGCTACTTTTTGTATTTTTAGTACAGATGGGATTTCACCATGTTGGCTAGGCTGGTCTTGAACTTCTGACCTCATGATCCACCAGCTTCAGCCTCTCAAAGTGCTGGGATTACAGACATGAGCCACCACACCCCGTTTTTTTGTCACGTTCATCCTGTCCATTTTTTATGTTCTTTTACCATGTTAACCTTTGGTTGACATTTTGTCATATTTTCAGAAATGACGTGGTTTCTCTGCTCGTTTATTATGTATGTTGCCTATCTAGATATAAGCTTTGTGAGGACAGAAGTCCTGTCTGAGTTTAGCTCATCTGTATCTCCAAAAGCTAGCACAGGGTGGGACTCAGCTCAGTAAGACACTTGTTGAAGAAATTGCAAGAATGGAAGTATATGTATGATTACAAAGACAGGATGAGCTCGCTTCTCCCACAACACCCCCTACTATTACTGGGAATTTACCCAATAGTCCTGCCAGGAAATAAAATGCTAGAGCAGTAGTTCTTGGCTGGGGGATTTTTTTGCTTCCCGAGGTGACATTTGGCAATATCTGGAGATACTTTTGGTTATCACAATTGGGACATGCTAGCGGCATGCAATGGGAGAGGCTAGGGAGGCCATTGCTCCCTATATATAATGCACATATATAATAATGCACAGGACAGCCCCAACCTACTCCGCCTGCTGATAAAGAATCGCCAGATCCTAAATGTTAACAGGGCCAAGCTTGAGAACCTGTGCCAGAGAGAGTGAATGAGGTTAGTTTGCTCATTTTAAAGTTTTCGTTTGGGTAATTTGAAATGATCTCAAACATACAGAAGAAGTTGCAAGAAAAATACAAAAAATGACCTTCACCCAGATTCTTCCGTTGATATAGTACCTTATTACATTATCATTCTCTCCATATATATCTAATTATTTTTTTCTTCTTGAAGTTGCAAGTTGCAGACATGATGTCCTTTTACCACTATATAAATCAGTGTGTACTTACACAGTGCAGTTATCAAAATTACAATGACCCAATAACACCTTAGTCATATTTCACATATTATCCCAATTGTATATCAAGTAAGTGTTTTACTCCTGTTAGACTTGGGATGAGGATGGAGCTGGAGTCCCTGGCTCTAACCCATCCCAATGTTACTTAATAAGAATTAAAGCTTTAGGCCAAGCACAGTGGCTCACACCTGGAATCTCAGCACTTTGGGAGGCTGAGGCAAGCAGATCCCCAAGGTCAGAAGTTTGAGACCAGCTTGGTTAACATGGTGAAACCCCATATCTACTAAAAATACAAAAAATTAGCCGGGCATGGTGGTGCGACTGTAAGCCCAGCTACTCAGGACGCTGAGGCAGGAGAATGACTTGAAACTGGGAGGTGGAGTTTGCAGTGATTCGAGATCACACCATTGCACTCCATCCTGGATGACAGAGGTGTAAAAAAGAAACCTTTTAAAGAAAATTCTCCTGGAGCCTAACACTGAGGTTGAACTCCTGCAATTCACCACCTTTGGTTGAGTTTGGCCTTTGGATATCACTCCGAGTGATACCTTAGACATCACGTCTGGACCTGTTGATCAGCGGAATTTTGTGCAGTGAGGATGGTACAAAAACTCCTCTGCAGCTGGAGTGTCACATCCTACTTCCGCACCAGACACATCCCTGACAAATGGAAGCTTTGTGATAATGACTTATATCAGGAACAAATATCTCCCAAATTGAGGATTCTTCACTCAGCATTAACCTGAAAAATAACAGAAATCCTTCAAAGGGCTTTTTAGGTTAACTGCTTCCCAGTGACAGCGTAATCTGCCACGCTCTTTCTCTCTGCCTTGCTTCCATAATCTTTCTTGACATTTCAAATGAATTCTGCCTGCAATCCATGGACCAACGTTCAATAGTAAAGGTTTATAAGTGAATATTCTTCATCAGATATTAGGTATTTGTTTGAAATTTTATGCCCTAAATAATTTCTTAAGACTTACTGGATGTTTTGTTAGTTCCGTTTTTAATTTTCCTTTCATTCTGCTGCTGCACAGTTTTCTTCTTCCATCCTAAGAAGACCGGTGTTAGAGGCACATTTCAGGTGCAACATAAATGATGGCTATTATTAGTGATGTGTTGCTCGAACTATAGCAATGGATTAGTTCCCTGGGGCTGCTGTGACAAATGACCACACACTGGGTGGCTTCAAAATAAGACAGTAGCTGGACGTGGTGGCTCACAGCACTCTGGGAGGTAATCCCAGCACTTTGGGAGGCCAAGGCAGGGGCATCACGAGATTGAGATTTTGAGACCAGCCTGGCCAACATGGTCTCTACTAAAAATACAAAAAAAAAAAAAAAATGCCAGGCCTGGTGGTGGATGCCTGTGATCCCAGGTACATGGGAGGCTGAGGCAGAATCACTTGAACCTGGGAGGTGGAGGTTGCAGTGAG